GTGTCCTTGTTTCTGAAGGCAGTGACTGAAACGAACGCCGCCAACGGATTTGAACCTGAGCCCTCACGTATGATAGCTGCACGTGTAATCACTGGGCCAAAGCTTGAGGCGTACAATTATCAGCTTACATTTTTTTTCAATAAAAAATTACGCTACGATGATGATAAAAAAATAATATTTATCCATTCATAAAATTTAGTAATTTGAATCACGATAAAATATATCGTGTTCAAAACATCCTTTGCATTGAAGCTCTTCAGAAAAAAATTGCCTCTTAATAAGACAAAAATATACAAATTTATCTTTTTGACGAAGCGGCAGATTTATAATTTCAAGTCGGAAGATATCATTGTCTCAACAATGCTTCGTATTGCCGACATCCATCACAATTGGAAGATAGCACTGACAACCGTTCAAAGGCTATCACAGCTGCGGCAGTCAAAACACAGCATGCAATAAATCATTCAAGATCTGAATCGTTGCAGATTTTTCTTTTTTACCTTCGAACAATTCCTCGATAATCGAAGGCAGATACCGTCCAAATACCGATCACAGAAGACGGATGTCATTCATTATAATTGCCTAAATGAGCCTTATTCGATAACGTTAAAGGAGAAAGTAATGAAGGAACCGATTTTGGTAATGATTTTAGTTGCTTTGACGGGTTGTTATGAGTCCATTTGATAACTATTAATTGCCTCCTGCCAACTACTTGAAATTTCATGTTCAACATAAGTACAGCAGCCTGCTAAAGAAATCTGTTAAAAATGATAAGGACAAAAAATTAATAAAGTTTTAAGTTTAGTAGTTTCCCATTGAAAATAATAAGGAAGCTAATAAAAATTTTTATGTAGTGGAATATTTATACAATGGTTTTAAAGTTTGGTTTGTCGCTCTACTGTCATCTTGTGCACACTTTAGGCAAAACAGACCGGGACCTACAGTTTAACGTGGATTCCGATCCACCAACAAACAACCATGCTACCGACAGGATTTGAACCTGAAGCCTTCGGTACCAACGGCCAAAGCGCTAGCCAATTGGTCATCAGGCCGCAATGGATTTGAAAGCATAGGCTTGTGGTGTGGTGTACTACTACTACACCACACCACATCACTGTGCCTACTCGATAACGTTAAAAGAGAAAGAAATGAAGGAACTGATTTTAGTTACTTTGACGGGTTATTATGAGTCCATTTGATAACTATTAATTGCCTGATGACAACGATTTGAAATTTCATGTTCGACATAAGTACAGCGGCCTGAGCCTGGCACATTCTAAGGAAATCTGTTAAAAATGACAAGGACATAAAATTAATAAAGTTTTAAGTTTAGTAGTTTTCTATTGAAAATGATAAGGAAACTAATAAAAAATTATATATAGAGGAATATTCATACGATGGATTTGAAAGCATGGTCATTTCTTAAATCTATACAAAGCATGGTCATTTCTTAAATACGCTGTACTACTACTACACTACACCACACCACATCACTGTGCCTATTCGATATCGTTAAAAGATAAAGTAATGAAGGAACTGATTTTGGTAATGATTTTAGTTACTTTGACGGGTTGTTATGACATGACATTAGGTTAATAAAGTTCTAAGTTTAATAATTTTCTATTGAAAATAAGAAGGAAATTAATTAAAAATATATATATTGAATATTTATACAATGGATTTGAAAGCATGTGCCGTTCTCAAATACGTTGTACTATTACTACTATGCTACACTACATCACTGCGCCTAGAGCTGAGTTGTCCCTTTGCAGTTTGGGAATGTGGGTAAGAAGTCTGATTGGACTATGTGACGCTCTTACAGTCATATGAGACCGAGACTTAAGTCTTAACGTGGATTCCGAACCACTACAAATATCCATATCACCACCGGATTTGAACCCGAAATCTGTGGAAACGGGCTCCAGAGCACTAATCGCACGGCCATCAGGTCCCTCACTTATGCGTACTACTAAAAGCCCATGAACAGGAAGGGAAGGGATTTAGGTGGTAACAACCTACTAATATGAAATTATAGTATTTTCTGACATCTATATACTCTTATATGTAAACAAGTAATATATAAAAAAAATTTAAAATCATTACCTACTTTTTAAGTTGAAATTTTCCTCTTACATCTGGCAACATCTATTGGTATATACATGCAACTTAAATATAAAAAAAAAACTAAAACGAACTAATTAAATTAAATTAATGAATTAATATTTGAAAAAACTGTATTAATATCAAGTTTCATCCACTACAAGTTCAAAAAAAAATGTATTTGAACTTGAATGGAGAAATAAAAAGTATTTTATTAACGATTGAAAATTTGAACAAGATGTACACTGACTACCAATAAGTATTTGGACACCTGCGATAGAAAAGAAAAACGAACTTCGTTCAAAATCAATAGTTGGTAGAGCCTCCACGAGAGGCAATTACAGCGTGAACCCTCCGGGGCATACTTTCCACAAGTCTTTATATGACAGCTAGTGGTATTTTCTTCCACTCGGCTTGGAGAAGACATAGAAGTTCCTTCACCGATTTTGGACGGGTAGTGCACCCCTGAATTCGGCGATGCAACGCGTCCCAGAGGTTCTCGATAGGGTTGAGAGCTGGGCTCTGGGCAGGCCAGTCCATTCGATGAACTCCATTGGCACCATACCAAGCCTTGGTTAACGTCGAAACATGACAACTGGCATTGTCGTCCTGAAAGTAACAGGGGTCCAACCCGTAAAACTGCCACAACGTAGGAAGCACATTGTCATCCAAAATAGTGCAGTAGGCATCGGCGTTGAGCTTACCATGAATGGGGACCAAGGGTCCCAGTCCATACCAGGAGAAACACCCTCAAACCATAATTCCACCTCCGCCGAACTTGACTGTTGGTACAATGCATTCTGGCAGAAGACGTTCTCCAGGCAGACGCCAGACCCAGACCCTGCCATCCGAACGGTAAAGGGTGAACCTTGATTCGTCACTCCAAAGAATCCGTTTCCACTGATCTACAGTCCAATTTCGATGTGCTTTGCACCACATTAACCGAGCAGCGTGGTTGGACTTTGTGATTATAGGCTTATGGGCAGCAGCACGACCATGAAAACCATGCAGATGCGCTTCCTTACGGATGGTATTCATTGAAACAATACTCCCGGATGCCTGTTGAAACTCCTCACGGATGAGGGCCATCGGTTGGGTGCTGTTCTTCCAAATTTCTCTGGTGAGCACTCGCCGGTCTCTATCTCCCAGTTTCGTTGGTCTGCGACTCGGGGCACATTCCAACAATCACCGCTCACCTTCCACTTCTTAATCACATAAGCCACTGTCGATTTTGGGTACTTCAGATCGCTAGATATGTCCCTTAAGGATCGGCCACATTTGTGATACCCGATAATTATACCTTTCTCGAAATCAGAGAGCTCCGAACTGCGCGGTATCTTGTATGCGACTAATGCCGATGCTGTTTCCTACATGATATATACCGGCAGACTCCGTGACGTACCTCAGGACCGCAGATATCGTCATTTGCATAGGTGTCCAAATACTTATTGGTAGTCAGTGTATATAGGGAGATCCTTTAAAATATTTCCTTTATATATTCTGATGATATTCTGTTAAAGTCTGACCCTTTATTTTATTCTTATGATATTCTTGATATTTTTTAAATTATAAAATTATGTCCAAACTAATTTATAATTAAAAAATATTAAGATTATCATCAGAATAAAATAAAAATAAAAATACCAATAAGATAAAATAAAACAATATTTTTGTAGTAATATAAGAATATTAATTGAATAAAGTAAAAATAAGAACGTCGTTAGAATAATTGATTATAAATAATAACTTAATGGTAAACATAATTTTCAAAATTTTTTTTTATATTTTGTCTCCATGTAATCAGTGTTCTATTCGATTTCATAACATTCAATATAACATTTTTTTATTATTAAAAATTTTAAAAAAAAAAATTTCGATTTTTAAATAAAAAAAAAAAATATTTTCCTACTAATTTTACTGTCTGTATATCACAAGACAAATTAAGAAATTCTAGCGCAGGTAATGATAAACGAGGTTGCCATTTTCTGCCGAATTGTTTCTAAGAATCGTACCCTTTTTTTTAATCATTGAAAGGGAAATAGGATTCAAAAAAGGATTCAAACCCAAATAAAATTTCAGGTTGAGTTAAAAATTCTCTTCAAGTTATTAGAAATCATTTATTGCAAATATACTTTAAAATAAACTACAATAATATCCCCAAAAAGTATTGTCTTTTTATATAAGAATTCATTCTCGGAAATACCATCTTCAAAAAAATTAAGCAATTCAACAAATAATTCGTACTTTATTAGAATTTTAAAATAGAAGAATAAAATTTTTTTATGTTATTGATTTTCTTTCTTTTGTTCAGGTTTTTTAGTTAAACTACGATTTCGTGAAAGACACAACATATACTTCAAATTACTTTACACAACTGAATTCTTCAATAGGTTTTTAATTTTTTTCTTCATAAATTCTAAAGAATTTTGAAATTTCCTGTCTTTCAAAAAAAAAAAAAATTGGATGAAGCAAAAAATAAGAATGTCGTTAAAATAATTAAGTGTACGTAATGACGTAATGGTAAACATAATTTTCAAATTTCTTTTAAACTTTATCATCATTCAATCACAGTTCTATTGGATTTCATAACAGGAAATACAAAAACATTTTTTTTTATTTTTAAAAATAATTTTTCAAATTTTTTAAATGTAAAAAAAATTTATCTTACAAAAAAATTAAAAAATAATTATTTATTAATTTATTTTCATTGTTTATTTCAGTAGATTGTTTTAGGAAGAGATAGATATAACGTCATATTTATTCTTAAATATCATAAGCATCTGAATTTGGTTTCAAGACTTTCTCTTCTTATCGCTTAACAAAGTGCTTAGAACTTAAAGGAAAAAAATTATTTTCTAAAAATAAAATTATATTTTATACATCTATAAATAACTATAACCAACGGCCGTACCATGCTGAATATACCGGTTCTCGTTAGATCACCGAAGTTAAGCATCATTGGGCGCGGTCAGTACTTGGGTGGGTGACCACGTGGGAACACTGCGTGCCGTTGGCAAATTTGGTACCTGAATGGCCGAGTGTCTAGCGCTCCGGCGCTCGGTGCCACAGGTTTCGGGTTCGAATCCCGGCGGTGCCATGGATGTTTGTAGTGGTTCGGAATCCACTTTAAGCCGTAGGTCCCGGTCTTCTATGACTGTAAGAGCGTCACGGAGCAAAAGTCAGGCTTCTACCTACGGGTGCTCCATCACAACAGAAGCTGCTTCCTTCCCCTTCAATCATGAGTCCATATGGGCTCGTGGGCTTGGCCAGCCAAGTGGGATAAGAAACAACAACAATAACATAAATAACTATACATGAAAATCATCCTTTATAAATCAAGCATCATTTTAATAACTCTTAACAGAAAAAATGTTGCAACTTACCCAACACGGCAATAATAAAAAAAAATGATGCAGATGTATGAAGGCAGATGCTTTCAAAGTTCGGTTACGAATAGTAAACAAGTTTTTAACAAACAATTTTTATCGTTAGAAAAAAAAAGTTATTTTATTTATTGGATCTTTTTATAACATAATACAGTTCTCTTAACACCGTAATTCAAAGTTTATTTTTTATCCGGAGCGCGAATAAACACCAGTTCAGAATCTCCAGTACAAAAAACTAATTATTTTTAGAATTCCATCAATTTGTTATAAACATGTTGCCACACGTGAATTAAACAATATGTAAAGTAATATCTCGTGCATATTTCAAAAGGAAAACATAATTTTAATATTAAAATGAACATTTCATCAAATGTAAAAAAAAATTTTTAATCCTTTAGTTATTAAAATAAAAATGCACAAAAAGTTTTTTTTGTTATATTATACAAAAATTAAATATAATAATAAAATAAAAGTCTTCGAAATTTTAAAATCCAAACTTTGAAACGATTTATTGAACGATTAAAATTTCTGTAAATCTTATCGTTTCATAATCGTCTGCTTTACGTAAATAGTTATAAAAATTTAAATATAATGCAATCGTTTGGCAATAACAAAATAAATAAATACAAATAATATAAAGTTTTTTTTTTTTTTTAAGTCTATTCCTTCTTTTTAAGTTGAAATTTTCCTCTAACATCTGGCAACATCTATTGCAACTTAAATCTAAACAAAAAACTCAAATGAATTAATTAAATTCAATTAATGAATTAATATTTGAAAAAAGTGTATTAACATCCAGTGTCATCCACTACAAGTTCAAAAAAAATGTATTTGAACTTGAGTGGAGGAATAAAAAGTATTTTATGAACAATTGAAAATTTGAACAAGATATATATATAGGGAGAGTGTGAACTAATAGAAGGAATTGAAAAAAAAAGGCGTTTTTAATTATAATTCGGGTATTTTTATATAAAAAATATATTGCATGATTATAAATATTGATGATTATATTATTGTGAGAATTTTAACAAATTAATAAATATGCATAACAAATGCTAGAACATTCTTTCTATTATTCTAGAAAAATCACCCCAGATTCGAGTTATTGTCACTATTATTATTTATGTTCATAATTTTAGAAAAGTTTAGGAATATATATTTATGTTCATGAATTATTTTCAATGCGATATAATATGAATGAGAAATTACATCGTTTTCCGTAAGATTTCTTACAATCTGTGAAAAAAATGGTGCTGTTCATAAAATGTTTTACAAAAGATATTAATGAGAGAAATTGTGTTTATATGCATGAAAATTTTTACAAGATAAACTGTGTAATTATCCATCATATTTCCTACAACATGAGAATGAAATTGCTTCACTCTTCATTATGTTTCCTATAATATGAGAATGAAATTGCGTTATCCATAAACCTTTGTACAAGATAAATTTGGTCGTTCTTCATCATGATTCTTACAATATGAGAATGAAATTGTGTCTTTCTTCATCATGATTCCTACAATATGAGAATGAAATTGTGTCGCTCTTCATCATGATTCCTACAATATGAGAATGAAATTGTGTCGTTCTTCATCATGATTCCTACAAATATGAGAATGAAATTGAGTCGTTTTCCATCATGATTCCTACAATATGAGAATGAAATTGTGTCGTTCTTCATCATGATTCCTACAATATGAGAATGAAATTGTGTCGTTCTTCATCATGATTCCTACAATATGAGAATGAAATTGTGTCGTTCTTCATCATGTTTCTTACAATATGAGAATGAAATTTTGTCGTTCCCCATCATATTTCCAATAATATGAGAATGAAATTGTGTCCTTCTTCATCATGTTTCCTACAATATGTGAAAAATTGTTTTGTTCACCAGATAATTTTTAGATTAGAAGGAAATTGTATTGTTTTCAAAATGATAATCTGTCCATTTACCATACTAGTATATTTTTCTTTTGATTTATTGAATTGGTTAATTATCTAGTCAGGAACAATGCGTTTCGATTCGTGTGCTAGATTTTAATTACAGAAGAGTAAATAAACTTTCCAGTTGTTAATTCAGCAAGCAGTGTATGTAGTATTTAAATAATTTTAAAAGAAAAGAGAGCAATTATATTAGAAGCATGACTTACAGATTAAATATTAAGCTTGCATGAAAAGTGAAATTTAAATAGCAACAAAACAAGATTTAAATAAATTTAAATAAAATCCCAATTCATTTTAAAAAAAGAGGCTGAACTTCAGCTGAAGCTCAGATTCCGAATTTCGAAATTAACAATAATATGAGGAACTGGAAGTCTGAGTCACACTTTTTACCCGAGAGATGATTTTTCGAGATATTAGCTCGAAAAATTTTTATTACCAGCGGAACTATCTGCAAAGATTACGCTGCACACAAACAGGCAAGTAATTTAAAGTGATCTAGGAAAGGCCTGTGGGTAGGATTTTTTCGGGTTCTTCTCGTCTTTCGCCGAGCACGGTTTTTGCATAATTTTTCCGCCATCAGACAATTGAGGGAAGTGGTATCCGATGACCCGGCAAACCAAAGTGGGTTTCGAATGACGGACCGCATTCAGGAGGAGTTGTCAGAGCATGATGGAAAAGAAGACTTCCTTTTCTTCGTTCCCTTTGATCTCCAAGAAAGGCATTCACTTAAGAGAAACGTCTGCAAAGCACACCAACTTCCGTTTCCCATTGTTGTGTGCGCAAATGCACCAGAGGGAAATGCCATGCAGCGGAAAAGTGTGTCTACGTTATTAGCCCAAAGATCTCCAAAGTGTGGTAAAGAAGAAGCACTCCAATCACGTATCACAATTGATAATCTCTCCGTAATTAGTGGGTGAGATTTGAAACAGAATATCTATATTGGGTAAACACAGCAACGATTATATTCTTACAACGATTCTTTCTTTATCATCATACCTATGTGATGTAGCGTTTCCTGCAATGACAACAATTAAAACGAAGTCCAAAAATATATTAAAGTTACAACCAAATTTCCGAATTATATTAACAGAGGGCATCAAACCAAATTACAAACCAAACGAAATGCCACAGAGGGAAATTCCATGCAGCGGAAAATTGTCTACGTTCTTAGGCCAAAAGTGTGGTACGCGTATCCCAATGAAGAAGTATCACAATTGATAATGTCTTTATAATTGGTGGGTGGGAATGAATCTGTATTGGGTAAACACAGCAACGACTTCAATCTTACTACTGCATTCTTTCTTTTTTTTCGCCATACCTGTGAGATGTAGCTTTTCTGCAATGACAACAATTACAACAAAGTACAGAAATAGATTAAAATTACAGCCGAATCTCAGAATTGCATTGACAGAGGGCAACAAACCAAATGAAGGCCTGCAAAACACACCAACTTCCATTTCTTATTACTGTGAGCACAAATGCACCAGAGGAAAATTCCATGCAGCGGAAAAGTGTCTACGTTTTTAGCCCAAGGATCTCCAAAGTGTGGTACTCGTATCCGAGAAAAGGGGTACTCCAAAGATGTATTACAATTGGTAATCTTGATAGGTGGGATTGAGTGGTAATAATTGATGTGTGAGATTGAAAACCAAATATCTATATTGAATAAACAGGGTCTGATGGCCGAGCTGTTCGAGTTTTCAGTTTTTTAATGCAGCTCTTGCATATGGCATAAAAGACAACTGTCTAAGTATTTGTCAGCTGCATTAGAAAGAAAACAAATATTGGGTAAACACAGCAACGGACAGCTGGATTCATTCTTTTTCACTGTACCTATGTGAAGTAGCTTCTGACGACAATTAAAGCCAAATACAGAAACAAACTACAATTACAATCGAATCTCTGAATTTTATTGACGGAGGGCATCAAACTAAATTTTTCTGATATTACTTTAAAGAAAATGCACCCACATTGTTCAAAATCGAATATCTATTTTGGGTAAACTCAGCACGATTGCAGTCTTACCACTGCATTCTTTTTTTTTCACCATATTTGTGTGATGTAACGTTTTCTGCAATGACAACAATTAAAAAAAATAAATAAAAGTTACAACAGAATCTCCAAATTGCATTGACAGAGGGCATCAAACCAAATTTTTCTGATATTATTTTTAAAAAAATGCAATCATATTGTTCTCAGATTAAATTATAGTTAAAAAAGTAAATTTGTAATTTAACTTCAATATTTATATATATATTGGGGGCCTGTTGTATCGGTGCCGACTCGGTGCCCCAGGTTGCGGTTCTAGCGGTACCATGGATGATTGCAGTGGTTTGGAATATACTTTAAACCACAGGTCCGGTCCAATATGAATATAGAGCGTTGGGCGTAGAGCGGACAACGCTAAAAAGTAGCAAGAAAATATTTCCTGTTTTGAAATCTGCCAGGACCACCAAGGTGCTGTTGCGTCAGTAAATAAGAAGTATATATGTTGTTTAAAATAAATAAATAAGAAATAATTTGATTTTTGACTACATATATACACTCCTTATCTAACTTTTTTTTATCTGTGCCTTGTTCACTGCCAAAAATATATTTCTGTTTTAAAAGTTTGTTAAACCAAGTAGACGTGGCTGTTATTATGTAATACATCAAACTGCACAAGCTTGTTGCTGTGAACAA